GCCCGACGCAGCCTGGGCGCCTGCGGAGGCCCGATTCCGCGATCGTAGGGGGTCGGCGCGGGGCGGGGCCGCCGGCAGAACCCGGGCTGCGAGGCTCCTTCAGCCGGGCCCCACTCCCCTCCCGGGATGGCGCTCGGAACCTGCGGCGTCCCCCGGGCCAAGGCCCGGCTGCGGGTGAGATAAGATAGGGATCTAAAAACAGGCCATGGTCAGCGAGTAAAATAGTAACAGGCAAAATTTGCTGGTGGTCTGTTCTGTGCTAGGCTTATGTTATCTCCATATACAGATGAAGATCCCGGGCCTTAGAAAGGCTAAGTGGGGTGATGGAAATGTTCTAAAACCGGACTGTGGTGAGGGTTGCACAACTCTTAAATTTACTAAAAAGACATTAAATTGTACACTTTAAATGGGTTAAAGGGGCGCCAGAGGCAGAGATAGAAGAGACTCGCTGGTCACCCTGCGAATAAGAAGCGAAGTTAGAGCAAAGTTGGAGGGTGAGACATGGGCACAGACGGGCCTTTCCCTCCCAGGTTGGAGCTGGGGGACTGTGGGATGGGATGTAAACCTCTGACACCCACTTCTCCACGAGGGCCCGTCGAGGCTGTTGGGATGGGCAGGTGAGGCTCCGTGAACTCCCTGGCGGGGGTTGAGGGGGAGGGTGTGGCTGTGGAGTGGGGGCATTGGTGTGTGTGGAGTGACCTGTTACTCATGCAGGTTAAACACCTGCTGTTTTTTCAATTGTGGCAAAAAATGTACAAAATATACCATTTTATCTATTTTTATTACACAGTTCAGTAGTGTTAAGTACATTCACATAAACTTTTCATCTAATAAAACTGAAACTCTATACCCATTAAATAACAACTCCCCAGTCCCCTCTCCCCAACCCTTAGAAACCACCATTCTATTCTGTCCCTTATGATTTTGACTACCTATCTCACACCAATGGAATCAGAATCATTTGTCCTTTTGTGACTGGCTAATTTCACTTAGCATACTGTCCTCAAGGTTCATTCATGTTGTAGCAGGTGTTAGAATGTCCTTCCTTTTTAAGGCTAAGTATTCTATTATATGTACATAGCACATTTTATCTATTCATCCACCAATGGAAACTTGGCTTGCTCCCACCTTTTTATTTAATCCTCACCTGAGGATATTTTTTCCATTGCTTTTCAGAGAGGAGGGTATAGGGGGAGAAAAAGCGCGAAAGGGAAACATCGTGAGACACATCAATTGGCTGCCTCCCTCACTTGCCCAACTGGGGCCGGGGGTCAAGCCTGCAACTGAGGCATGTCCTTAGCTGGAATCGAACCTGGGACCCTTCTTCCTTTCAAAGTTGGATGCTTTTCTTTTTCTTGCATACTGGCCCTGGCTAGGACTTCCAGTACTATGTTGAACAGATAAGGTGAAAATAAGCATTCTTGTTGTTTCCAGTTTTAGAGTTTTCAGTCTTTCATGATTATGATGTGAGCTGTGGGGTTTTCATACATGGACTTTATTATTTGGCGGTAGTTACTTCTATTCCTAGTTGAGTTTTTTATCATGAAAAGGTGTTAAATTTTGTCAAATGTTTTTTCTGTATCGAGATGATGTGGTTCTTTCCCCTTCGTTCTGTCACTGTGTACTAATTTTCATGTGTTGAAACTTCCTGGTATTCTAGGAATCAATCCCACTTGCTCATGGTGTATATAATCCTTTTAATATGCATCAGACCCCAGTGAAGTGTGCCTAGAGGAGATGGCTAGGTAAAGAGAGCACATGGAATACTACCCAGCTATAGAAAGGGGTAAGGAATCAGTACATATACTCAGGTTAGTTTTCTATGCTACGGAACCACCACAAATGTAGTGCCTAAAACAGCAGGCAGGTTCCTAGTACAGCACACTGGGTTCTCTGCTCAGGGGCCATCACATTAGAGGTCCTGGTTGGCGGCAGAATTCAGATAAAGACTTGAGATAAAGACTGAGGTTGTGTTCTTGCTGTTTTGTGGCTCCCGAAAGGGCCTGCAAGGCCTCTGCCTTCCACTAGGTATGTCAGAATCAGGACTGGTATTTCCTCTTCACATTTCTGCCAGTGCTCAAGGAGAAATCCCAGGTGTCCTCTGGGGCAGAATCCCAGGACCATCCTGGAATCCTGCTACCCCAGTGCCAGGGGATAGCTGGTGGACGAAGGACCCCATCACCGTGGCAGCGCTGTCTTGGAGCTGACAGTCACACAGACACACAGGCAGTCCTGGGCAAGGCCCCTGCTCTCTTGCAGGAACCACATCCTCTACCAAAAATGAGTTTGTTCCCTTGTTGTTCCCCAGTTGCAAGGTCTTGGTGATAACCGCAGGCTTCACCAGGGACCCAGCATAAATTTGGAGATCCCAAGGCTGGTCAGCACCACCCACCTTCCAGGCCTCCAGCACCGACTTTAGGGAGCCTTCTTCAGCCTCACCTCCTTCGCTGTGAGACAATACAGCTTCCAGTATAAAGCTCACATAAAGGAAACTGGGCCAGTGCTGGTTGACAGAAAAGTGTACCTATGAACCCACCACCAAGAGCATTCCTAGACTGCAGGGGAATCTCGGATCAGGTCAGGGATTTTAGTTGACCAAGCAGATTCCGGAGAACTGGGGTCTAGCACCTTCCCAAGCCCATCTGATCACAGGATTTAGGCCTACTTCCTACCTGGCTTCGCCAGGTGGCACATCCAGCTTACCTGCTGGGGGGTAAGGGCCCGTCCCTGCTTACTGAACAGTACAAAGGGAGGAAAAGGGCCCAGAAAAGCAGCTTATTCAACATGACACTGTGATGCTGCCACCACTACTGGGCATGGCCAGATTACACAGAAGTGTAGATAAAGGACCATGTGACAGGGTCTTAAAGCATGGGTTCCACACCCAACCACATGCTAGGCTTGCTCCTGGCACTCAGAAGACACTACATTCTGGTGGGGTCTAGCTGGTGGCACAAGGTGGAGAGGCGTGCACAGGTGACTGAATGTGGAAGCCATGTCTGAGGGGAAGCAGGGGTTTCTTCCTCTCACCCACCAAGGCAGAACTCAGTGTAGAGGTGAGAGGCAGCTCTGCCTTGCACGCCCACCTAGAGGCCCCTGTGCTTCAAGCCTGTGAAG